AAAAAAAAGATAATATAAAGTGAAGAAAGCATTGAAAGAACTCCTGTGAGCTGAGAGTATTGGAGGCATATTAAAAACTAATTCAAAATTTAAGATTAGCCTTTCAAACAAGAAAACTAATATTTGTTTACGATTTGAGATGCACAATATGAAATCTACAGAAATGAAATTTGATTTAATTTATTCCAGAGCACCTTTACCACATGTTTAATTTAAATCTGATTTTTTGAGATATCAGAAAGTTGGCTAATAATAATTAGATAATCAATATACATGTACTTGGTTTTCAACATTACACTAATCATGTTTGGTGATTACCCCCAGAGCATTTATGTAGCAAATTTAAGTGAAATGTGATGATTATGCAAATAACTGACTTCAAGTTGGTGATTTTCTCATAGTCTGAAGCTCTAATTAGAGGGACCATTTGAAATTGGTCAAAAAACATACAACTGAGGATAGCAATTCATAAACTAGTGTGGCTTATCTCAAAGTATTTTCTGCAGAATTTCAACAGTCAGTTATAAGAAATAACTTGGCAACATTTCAGGAAATTACTGTGTCAAAAGACTGTTAACTGTGTCCATCCCTGGGGTCACTCTCAGGCATTCCATCTAATAAATAGTGGCAAAATTTATTTCACAATTGTTAGTTTTAACTTTTTGAGTTTTTGCGACCACACTGCATACTGGCCTAGTCATGATGACTAACCAGCAACTGTGAAGTTTAGTACAGTGATCATTTAGTATAGTTGTTACTGACAATTACATCTTTTATCAGTCTTAAAGCACATCATCAGCTCCACGTAGACATCTACATGTATGCTGGACTAACCTCACAGTGACACACTTATTTTAAGTTAGCTGGCTACCATTAAAACTTATCGCCGGATATCTTTTTACCATACTGCTTTACTCACAAAATCCAGATAAAAAAAGTTTGGTCATCGAACTACTGAATTCCAATGAAAATAGTCAAAAAAAGACCCATGTTTCATATTTTCTGTCAGTTTTTCTCCAAAAAGTATTTTGTACTCAGTGCAAAAAAAGCCCAAAATTTATGTAATGTTTTACTCTTATTTAATAGATCAAATGCCTGCAAACAACCTTAATTCACAACACATAGTGTTCATCAGATATGGCACTTCTCAAGCACATGGCATCTAACTTAAAATATGAATGTGATACCAAAAAATGTATTATATATCATGTCTCATTTCATTCAGTACCGGTAGTTTTTAATTTATACGCTGTTAGAACATATTCTACTAGTATACCGGTATGTACAAAAACAGATATGTGCAGAAATAAGTTTCTTCTCATTTCACCTGATTTCAAAATTCAAGGATGGTACTAGGCAGCAATTTAGCACTATGAAAAACTGATATAAATCATTATCACTGACTGATATTCATTCATTAACTTTCATTCTTGGAAGACTGCCAGTAGTCTGTCCACCATCTTTACTCATTACACTCATGGTCTAGTGTGATTGTTATGATTACCAATCACTATCATGATTGAGGAGAATCATGGACAAACACATCACAGCCTAAATGTGACCAGTCTTATACCGTAAGCACAGAAAAGTATTATTGAATATGCAAGATAAATTCACATATACAATATTTGTTATAAGCAGCTGTTGTAGAGCAGTTTAGACATAAATAGTGTAATAAGTATAAACAAGGACAAAAATATAGACACCATGTTTGAAGGAAAAATCATCCTGTTAGTAATTTACTGCATTGTTTATTTAACATATCAACAATGAAAAAAATGTATTGGGAATGTGTAGCTGATTTCAAGGATAAATTATTCAAGTATGTCAGCTAAATGGTTTATACCAGTCATGTATTAGTCCAGTAGAAAACAATAAATACATCACAGCAATGTTTGATTGAAAATGAGGTTCTGATTAAAATTGCAATGTTTTGTTCAGTGTCCAATGAGGTATAAATGTAGAGCCCAGTTGTTTCCTTGGTAAAGATGATCAAATTATGATAGGTCAAGACTGTAGGGCATCAACTAGCATCTTTCCAGCCTTGCAAAATATACTGGTTACACTAAAGAACCAAATCTGGATATAAACTTGGACCCAGTCTGAGCATGATTAACACTCACATTGTAAACATGATAATTGTAGGTATGAGTGAAGGAACCATACCGATAAGAACCATATGGAGCGACTGATAAGACAAAACTTCAAGAAACCAAACATTAGCTAGGATCATTGTTTAGGGAAGGTATCTAATATCCCAGTCAGAAGTTAAACCGGATATTAAATACTTATGATGACTGTTGATAATCAGCCCAACTTTACTGATACTTTTCAGCTTATTTATAAAATAATCAACTTAAAATTCAAACTAGTTTAGGTTACTATGGTTCAATTGAATTCAAATAAACTTTATAATAAATTATGTGATTTATTTTATCCTGTGATTGTGCTATAAATTTACTGTCCATAGGTCAGATAAAACATTTGACAAAAATATTTATATCTCAAATGATTCACATAATGTTTCACAATATTGATCTTTTACATGCCAACTAGACATCTCTTCCAAATCAGACACATTCCATCTGAAGTGATTTTATTCATCATCATTATAAAGAAAGAATAGAGAAAGTATGAATAATTATAGCTTGTTAGAGAATTTCTCAGGAACCGCAACCTATCTTTCAGAATTTATTGAAACGCAAATGAGTGAATATAAATTTCTGAATTTTGTGAAGAAAACACCTACATCGAAAGAATACAATTATTTAGTGGTAAATTTATCGATCACTTGATGTTCAAGCAGACAGTATGTATAATACTGTATAATCTTATTATTTGCAAACTTAGATTGTTTAAATTTTGGTATCTGAAAGACAATAAAACACTTTCCTGTGTTATTTGGGAAATCATTGCCTTCAAAGGTCAATGTGAAACTCTATACCCATACAAAGCTTCAAGTTGGTAGATAAGGTGGTACCAGTGTAGTTTCAGCAATATCTTATTGTATAATATCATCAATAGTCATAATAAATCATCTATTACTTCACAGTTGTCTCATTATCACAAGTCCAAAATTGCAACTATTGTATCTTTACGACTTAAAATATAACTTAATTTGACTATGGACACACTTCTGTGTACTACCAGCAATAGACCAAACAAGATATTTTACAGGTATTACCCACAATCCCTGGAGGAACCTGGTGGGTGATACCATTATTTTTAATTCCCTGGGACAACTGACTGGCAGTTATGAGACCCAATTTGTCTAACTTAGACAAATAGTATAAGTAATTGGAGTGACTAATAAACAAGGGGGCTTTTGGTGGTGTACAAGCACACAATTGTCTGTGATTGAGGTTTGGACCTTAATTGGATCCTTGATGTTCTAGAACACAGTTGTTTGTGAAGCAAGTTTGGACATAGTCGAACAGTGTGAATTTTAATTGTATTTTCAAATTATAAGCAGAAATGGAAAAGAAGGTCACCAGTCAGCCAGTTATCAA